GTAGCTGCTGCATTTGCTGCACACAAAATACATAATCACACACATAGACACACACACACACACCCATGTGGCCGCCCACTATGCCCCCCCCGGGACCGGAATGGGCGAAATCGCCACGGTACTGGCCACACGACGACGTGTTCGGCAACCCACTACTTTGCGCTCGGCCGAACATGTTCGGTTCCCGCTCGGCTGAGTGTCCGAACATGTTCGGATCCTCGGTGGGGCGCCAAACATGTTCAGCGTGCTATACAGTTTTTTATTTACTTTTTTATGTTTGTGTTTGAAGGGTTTTGGACGCTGGTTCGAGTCAGGAGAACATGTTCGTGTTCAACGCATACACAATGCTACGCAGACGCACGACATGCCCAACAAATTTCACCAGCAAATTCAACATCCAAGGACGAAAAAGGAACGACATCAACATTTCTCGGTGGCTAGTCAACAGGTAACTTCCTGGTGAAGCATAGACAGAAAGAAAAGGACAAGAAATGGGTGGTTGTGACAGATTGTTTTGTTGGAGTTTCCTTGATTTTTCAGGAGGTTGAACCCTCAACCATCTGTACGGTTCCCTAACCGATGATACGAGAGCTGCAAGTGTTAATCCTCACCTTAAACCACCACTCTTCCAGATGTTGGAAATTCTGGGGACCGGTAGTACAGGTTCATGAGGGTTACCGGTAGCACATTGCAGAGACCCGGCAAAATGGCAAAAATGGAAAATCCGACGAATTGTTGCCACCACTTATTTTGTGGTTGAAACTTTTTTTGTTTTTTTTTTTGAAATGTTTCCCAAAAAGATGACAGCCAAATCTATGGACGCTCCAATTTTCATGTTTTTCCATGAATTCTTCGGAGTGTGAAAAATCGCTGAAATTGGGGTATGTCTCAAGTTGGTCCACAAGTAGTGGAGTGGCAAAAATCAAGAATGAGGCAAATCCACGCAGCATTTATTTCACCGCCTGGCCTTTTTTTCAAAAACATACGATATTTTTCGTGGAAAGATCACGACCAAATCTACAGATCCTCCAATTTTCAGAGTCTTCAAGGCATTCTTCTGAGCGGGAAAAATCGTGGAAGGAGTACTTTTTTCGTTGGCCCACACGTTGTAGAGTGGCAAAAATGGAAAATGTAACGTATTGGCGCAGCATTACTTCATGATCTAAAAAGACTTCTTTTCATATTTCTGATATTTTTCCCGGAAAGATCAGGACCTAATCTACAGGATCTCAACTTTCCACATTTATTTCTTAATTTTTCTGGGCGTGAAAAATCACAAAAGTTGACGCTTGAAAATTGTGGGACTGAACTTGCCTCCGCATACCGGCCGGTGCCCTAAAATCCTGCTCCTAACTCACCGGATTGCCATTTTTGGGCGTCGGGTGGAATGGTGGTTTAACCCCAAACGCAACTGGGCAAAAAAACACTGCCTCACAACTGATAACCCAAAGCGGGAAAAATATATATTTCATATTGTAAACCAAGGCTCGCCCAGCAACTGGCCGGTTCAGCTTGCGCGGTTCTATCGGGGGCTGACCAGCCCTGGGGGGGTGAACTGGGAAACCGGTTTTAGAAACAAATGGCCAAATGTTTTTTTTTCTTTTTTCTTGGCAAATTCCGACTGCGCTCTCCAAGACCTGTCGAAATCCGCTATAAAGTTTCAAAAGTGCGAGTTTTCTTTCAGGGGTTTCCCAGGGGGGAGAGGGGTAATACTGGGATGATCAGGTATGGCTTTAAACCACCAGTACTTGGCCCAGCTATTGATGTCGAGCCTGGAATGCCCCTGCGCGCCGATTTTCGCCGAAGCGCCAGGGTACCGTTTCGAAATTGTTTTGGCTGGGCTTCCAGCCATTGAGGTCCCGTACCCCGAAGCCCTAAAGGCGCGGCTCGTTAACGGGAAAGCGCCGCGGCTGATAGCTGGGCCAAGTACTGGTGGTTTAAGGGGGAAGGGTCAAGTAATCAAGCTTACTTATCTAACCCCTCCGCAGCCTGAAAATTGCAGTTCAGCACCATAGGGTATTATGGTGTACGCCACCACATACCAGTACCCCAAAGGCTGAACAAGATATGCTGCGAGAAGGTCCTTGCCAAAACTTATAGCTCTTCCAGAGTACAGCTCGACAGCAAAAACGTTATGGGTTCAGGTCTCAGCTCGTGCAGGCAGAGCGTTTTCTGTTTTTTTTTTCCTTATCCTTAGAATAGCGGGTCTTGCGTAACGCTCCCACGAGACCCGGCTGCCAATCTTGGGAAGTGGTTGGGACAGGGGGGGCAAGGAAACGCCACAGCAATTTCGTGTGGCACGGCCTGTCAACGCATGTTCGAATACAACTACAGTGACTACATACATTCTACAGCGGCCGGAAAAAAAAAGGGCTTGAGAAGAAGACCGTGCAGATGTAGAAAGACGAGAACACGTGAGGAAGACGAGGAACAATGCACGGTGCAGGATGAAAGGAATGCGCACGTGCGAAAAGGAGGAAAATCGCGCGTCGGAAGAAGACGACGACGACGACGACGACGAAGAAGAAGAAGAAGAAGAAGAAGAAGAAGAAGAAGAAGAAGGAGAAGAAGAAGAAGATAGAGTGATGAGAGAGAGAGAAAGAATGATTACCTGGACTGCTGATCTCCTGCTGCCGGCAGCGTCTGTATTGGACCGGAGAGACAGCTTGTATACATTCAGAGGGTAAGGCCCGCTGCCACGAGGCCATACCACTACTCGCCAAGGGCCTCACCATGCGACTCTCAAAACGAAAAAAGCACGAATGCATCTTCTCAGGAAAGTGGTGAGATGCATCCGTGACGGTTTCTTTTTTTCTTTTCTTTTTCTTTTCGGGACAGTTTTTCTCTTTTGTGCGCTCATACTATGCCCGATTCACACAGGGCCTCGCCACAAAAGACAGAAAACGCAGTGGTGTATCTTTTCATGTTCTAGTGGAAGATTCATTCTCACACATCGGGCAAGTAGTGGAGTGAGGCCGGAAGAGATCCAAGGGCGTACTCACACTACGACTAACATGCATCCCCTTATTGTGAGCGGTAGCTATGCTTGCTCGGGTCCTCTGTATACTCCTCAGCCTGTTTGGTGCTGCCTCGCCATGGGAAGGGCCAAACTGTCCCTGATGTTGGCGATGTGTTTTTCACTTTTCCCCTCGTTCTCTCCGCCGCGTCGCAGAGGGCATCCCCTTGTGTTTTTTTAACATACGGTGGGTCTTCAGTTCGAAAGTATTTTTCCTGGCAGTCTGTCCAGATCCATGCCGTGGAGCGAGGTCCATTCTTGGGCATGCACCTCGGACAGCATTGTTACTCTGACTGCGCGCGCTGAAACCCAAACCCATAACTCTTTCCCCAGAGCATAGGGACGTCGCAGAAGCATATAACTTCAGCAAAGCCACATCTTCAGCAACACAGAGATGAGGAACGGGTACCCACACACAGGCTGGACGAGCATCAGGACCTCCCAAATACATGTGGTCCGTGGTCTGCTGAACCACACGATGCCAAATTGCCAAATGGGTCCTATCGGACCCTGCAGCTTAAAAGAAACGCGCAGTGGTTCTCCGCCACTCATCTGCCAAGATCAGCGGTGGAGATCCTCAGCCCATTCTTTTTAAGAATTGGGGTCCAAAAGACCCCGATTTTTTTTGTTTCGAGGAGGTAGTAGCCTCCCGGGACCTGGGCAATCGCGGAGATGGCTGTGACTCCCTGGTACTCCCCCCCCCCCTTCCCCCCCCCAGCGCGATGCTCTGGGTTGGACATGGGGGTCTGCCAGGCCGGTCGACCGCCCAGTCCGACCAGCAGGCTCCCGGTCAGGGGAGGGGTCCCCAGTCCAACCGGGGACCAGCCCTGTTGTAAACTGTACTTCTTGACTGCATACAGATGCCTAACCATGGATGGCCGAGACATTGTGGGGGGCGCCCACAACGAGCCAGTAGGCGGAACCGACCCTCAGCGCCCGTGTTAACCAGGGGCGTAGGACAGTTGTTAGCTTGTGTATTCGTGGGACATAAGTCCACAGAAAAAGGACAAGGCAATACCACCACAGCAGCCCACACACAGATGAAATAGCAGGGCGGACTATCACCTACTCACACGAACTGAAGAACTCCGGAGGCCGTAGGTCCACGCCACCATTAAGCGTCAAAGAGTCGCTTGACAAATGAACGTCACCACGAGTAAATGCACGGGACGGCTACAGATCATGAACACACCAGCCTCCTTTTCTTTCCGTAGGGGGTGGGGGTGGGGGAATCTACCCCTTATGAGACCCTCCGCCCACCTTTCCCCTTCTCAATTCTCCACGGCCTACCCCTAATCCCCCAGCTGTACCTCGCTGTCGACCACTCAGGATCTTCCGTCTTGGCCGGCAACCAGCCACCTAACAGTGCAAAAGGCAAATCTTAAGAGCATACGCACATTACCATCTTCACCCGAATAAAGTGCCCGGTCATTATCGCTGCATCTGGTCTTGGAAGTTGCCCCAAATACAGGGTATAATGACCGGGCGTCTTATTCCGGTGAAGACAGTAGGACTTGCCTGGATGTGGCTGACCGAAATTATGGCTTCTCCTGCGTGCATCTGAGTGCAATTACGTCAGAGAGAAGTCGCAAAAGTCCTCAAACTGGATCACTGCATCAAAGAGACGACCGGCAAAGGAAAACATCAAAGCAAACTGTACAACATCAACGACATATTCAGGGAGCCACAAAAGAAACAAACCAAGATCCAAGGAAAAAGGGCGACCGCAACAGACTGTTTCATCGCACTTGCACTGGGACGTAGAAAGAAAAGGATTCTTTGTGTGCATGCATCACACCTGCACACATGTATGCATGGGTCAACAGACAAGATCCTCTCCCTCGCATGAAGAATTGAAACAAGAAAAATTCAAAAGAATGAATTTCTGAAAAAAATAATACCCTGTAGAGGGGAAGCACTGTCGTAACTCTGCCACACTAGCAGACAATATAATTGTCCCTTCTCAACTGCTATCCTGGAAGACTAATGTCCCCTGCTCCCTTTAGTTCTTTCTCCTTTTCTTTTGCTCCACTGTCAAATGCTATCCGAGAACACTAATGTCCCCTCCTCCCCTCCCTTTCGTTGCTTGGGATTCCCAGAGCATCCCAAGCAACACAACGATCACCACGTCTGTACGTATTGTTTGCTCTCTCTCTCTCTCTACCTATCATCTATCTATCTATCTATCTATCTATCTATCTATCTATCTATCTATCTATCTATCTATCTCAACAGACACACAGCAAGACTGGAAGATGTAATACTCTCTCAGCAAAGAATACACGTATTATTAAATATACCAACAAATAGATTGAATCCTGAATGACGAAGAGAAAGGGGGGGAAAGAGAGAACAGAGTCATAAGTTGAAACCTGAGCTGTTACAACGGGAGAACGAATCAGCAGCCTTCTTTCGGAATACCGAAGTGACAAGGGGCTCTATTGCTGGACACAGCGATTTGTACTCGGCAGGAACTCCAGAAGCCAGCCAGGGAGAAGGCCTCTCCAATCTCTTTCGATCTTCCACCTTTCGAACTGCTAATCGCCACCGCGCAGAGGCAAATTCCATACAGTGCATGAACATTTTTCCCCTTGGTCAATTCAACCACAGTACAGTAGTAACCCTTTGCCGCGCTGTAATTGTCCACTCCCCCTATTGTGTACAATAGGTCAGCATAGCCAAGGTGAAAAAAAGGGTTCTGTCGGTCTGACAACCGACAGAACGAGCTCTTCGAAACAGAAGGCTGCTTGCTTGTACATCTGCACGGTAGTGTAGACATTGACGAGTTTTCTCCATGCTTCCATGTCTCCCTTCAAGAGGAAAAGATAGGTGTAGGTGTTGAGCATTTCCAGTCTCTGCCAGATTTCCCTGCGCTTCCACGATTGAGATATTCCGCTTATACAGCTGTTGATTGTCAGGGGCTAAGTCCATCAACTCGTTATACAAGCCGTCAGCCTTTGACCAAAACCCTTTCGCTTCAAAGATGAGACCCTCGAGAAGGCGAACCCTGGTGCTCCCAGGGAAGCGCTTCGCTAATTCCATGTAGCACGCCATACACGCATCCAGGTCGCCGCAATCGACAGCGGCGATACCCACTTGCTCATATGCGTTCCGCAGGTCATTGTCGAGTCTCAATCTGTCTTTCGCATTCTTCAGCATCTCCAAACCATACCTCAGAACCAGTTCCGATCGTCGCAACCCGTTTTTACGCACCAACTGGAAGTACTTCTGCCGCGTGGAGAAGTTGCCTCCCTTTTTACCCACCAAAGGCACCAACTGCCTCTCAAGGGTCTCCACCTCCTTTAAGACTGCCAAACCCACCGTCTGCTCAGTCCAGTCAGCTAATGAAATGACAACACCAACCCCTCCGCGCTCTCCACCACCTGACACAATCACTCATGCACGGAACTACAACTACCCAAATACACACACACACACACACACACACACACACACACACACACACACACACAAGCACTACCGCATGTGAATAAAGGTGTACTGGTACCACAACATTCCCTTTGAGACAAACAACAACACCATCTCCTGGTAGAATGACCGACCCTACAATCACATAGCACTCCTCATATTTGGCAATAAATCCAGCATCACCATAGCCTGGTGGTTCTGCATGGTACCCCTATACTCCTTTAGTCTTCTAACATAGCACCTGCATTTCTCTCCATGCCCTCACTCGCTGGGAACCAAACTTCTTTGCAAACGGAGAACCTGCACACAGAATTACCAACCACCGAGGAGCGACACATGCTTCATCAGCATCTTTCTTCTTTCTGTTTCTTGTTGTCTATACACTGCTCAAAGTCAAAAGCGAGTCGGGAACAATGCACCCTGGCTGGACAACGGTTTGAGGCCTGGCACCTGGAGTTCCACCAGCCGATCGACGTGCTACAGCCCAAAAAAAACGGCCATTCAGTATCATGCACCTGAAAAAGAATAAATTATTTCCAGGATAGCTTATAGATAAATAAGAAACTAAGATTAATAACTGAAAGAGCGGGCCTATACGTACGATCTTTTGATTTTTATGAAGTTGGCGAAGTAGATCGTAAACCTTAAACTGAGTTGTTCAGTCTGAAAAGAGGTGAATATCAATAAAAGCTGGGGCAAAGGCGCACCTGGATGGCCCAGGCGTGCTGGAAAATTGCCCAGAATTTCATTTGATTATTCTGGTGGGCAGTTCTGCATTTGTTGAGAGCATGCAGAATCCAGCCCTAAATTTTAAAACAGCCAATGTCAAGTTCGGCGGGAAGGAGGAGCATGGGGCCCACGGAAGGGCCTGCAGGTGTCAGGGTTTGGATTCTGGATTTTGGACGCTTCTGGTCGGCAAGTGGTGCAAGGGAGGGGAGAGGTGGGGGCAGGTGGTGCAAGGGAGGGGAAAGGTGGCAGGCAGGCGGCATGGAGAGGTGGCTGCAGTACCAGGCAGGTCAACGGCAAGTGGACGGCAGGTTGAGGGCAGGTGAAGGGTAGGTGGCAGACGGGAGGGTGAAAGGTGGCAGGCAAGTAGTGGGTAGAAAAGGCAGGCAGAGACGGAAATGAGGGGGAGAGTTGGCATGCGTGAGGGGGCAAGCACATCACCGGAGGTGGTACACGGGGTGGAGGCAGGTGCCAGGTATGCCCTCTCTCTCTCTCTCTCTCTCTCTCTCTCTCTCTCTCTCTCTCTCTCTCTCTCTCTCTCTCTCTCTCTCTCTCTCTCTCTCTCTCNTCTCTCTCTCTCTCTCTCTCTCTCTCTCTCTCTCTCTCTCTCTCTCTCTCTCTCTCTCTCTGTGTGTCTGTCTGTCTGTCTGTCTGTCTGTCTCTGTCTCTCGGGTATCACCAAGTTTGGGCAAGGTGGCGAATCCTTATCCATGAAGGTGATGAGGTGGGTGAAAGTTCGACGAAACAGGCTGTCAGAGCCACCCTTTTTCTGTGGAGTTGCACTTGAGAAGCAGAGAAAATTTAGCGATGGTCCAAGTTCAATGAAACACTGACACAGTCCTGTATGCTGTGTATATCGAACATGACAAAACACACATGCACAGGGTGAGTAAAGTCAGCCTCTTTTCTCAAGGCTATGGCTGACAAGGGTGGGAGTAAGCCGAGTGCTTCTCTTTAGGGTATCACTAACTTCGGGCAAACTTGGAAAGCCATATTTGTCGGTAGAAAGTGCATCCTCAGCAGATTGTCGAGGTTGAACCTCCTGATGAGTCGGTGACGATACAACGAAAGTCTGTCGCAGTCACCATGCTAAGCGGCATCCTCTCTCTCCCTCTCCCTCTCTCTCTCTCTCTCTCTCTCTCTCTCTCTCTCTCTCTCTCTCTCTCTCTCTCTCTCTCTCTCTCTGTCTGTCTGTCTGTCTGTCTGTCTGTCTGTCTGTCTGTCTGTGTGTGTGTGCAGGGGCCAGACAATATGATCAAGACGAGGAGAAGAAGAAGGTGATGATGATTCTTACCTCCTTATCTAGAGGTGGGCTTTGGCACTGGCACAGTGACAGAAAGGGAGTCCACCTGGCAGCTCCATGGGTCAGGACAATGACCACAACACAGTCTCGACGACAATGATGACGAGACAGGTGGGGCATTTGGTGAAGGGTACGGCATTCGGATTTGAATGCACGCCCTCCAACACGCCCTGTTTCGCGCAGACATCCAGGCAGATCTGGGTTTCAAGATCTGCGGCCAGGTCTACCATCAAAGAAAACGGCATGCCAACCAATGGTTAGGACCGAGTGCTTTTCCAGACCTAACCAGACCGAAAATAGCAAAAAAACACATCCAGCAAATGAGACGCGCTGGCCCTGCCGGGCACATCCATGTACTCCACACAGACAGACCGCCCAGAAGGCACTTAGGAGGCCCCCCAAGCCCATCCTGCCACACGGGTCGTGCCCCAGAATACAAATGAATTAAAAGAAAAAGAACATTATTAATTTATTATATTCTAAAGTGAAACTGTTTTCACCTAAGTCGGTGACAGCTGCAGATCCCAGGGCTCGATCCCTAGACCTACCCTTACCCGTTGTACAGTACCCTTGACCCTTGCATGTTTAAACCCGCGACCCCCCCCTGAAAGTCGCATGTTCGACTGCTGAACATAGCGCGGTCGCCTGGGGTTTACCCGTAGACTTTAGTTTTAGCAGTCGTAGGGTCAGTCTAGGTCGTAGCTGCTACAGTTCCGAAAGGTCAAGTCTAGGACTTTCTAGATGTGTCCGAATGGGCTCTTCGTAGGTCGTAGGAGTCAGTCCGTAGCTGAGTCAGCGAGGGGCAGTCCTAGCCCAGTCAGCAAAGGGCAGTCCCAGTCCTACCTCGTCTAGTCAGCCGTACCCAGTCCCAGTCTAACCTAGTCTAGTCAGCAAGTACCAAGTGGGACTGTGTACATCCTGGGCCCAGGCCAAGAGGTCAGACCACCAACGAAACAAGTATAAATAAAGAGGCAGCGTCAAGTCATTCATTCATTCTGCCCGTGAGCCGTGCGGAAGCGTTGCTTGAGCGACTTGTGCATCGGAGGTCTGCAGGTGCCTGAGGAAGAAGAGGGCTAAGAGGATGAAGAAGCGGCCATAGCCGCAAGTTAGTGTAGGAGGGAGACCGCAGCCATAGCTGCCAAGTAGGTTAGAGATAGGATTGTGTGTTGTTTGTGTGCGTGAGGGACATTCAGGGTGACCCTAGCTAGTTGAGTTGTGAGTGTGTGCGGCGAACAAGTTGCTGGTGGATACAGTTGATCCGGTGGGAATCTTTGTCTGGTGCTGGGCGCCATAGCCATTGAAGACAAGTTGAATCTGAACAGTGTTCCTGGCCACGTTCTTATCTCTGAGCTTTGTGTGGGTGCACTGCGCCAGTTCGAGTCGTCATCTGTTTGCATGCATGTTGGAAGCGAGATGAGTCAAGTCTGATTTCAAAAGTATAAATGTAAATATCATTAATTGTATTGACGACTCTTTAAATTGAGATGGAGAAGAAAGAATGTAATGATGGTCGCGTGGGACCCCCCCTGACTGATCCAGACCTCCATTCAGACCTCCTCTCAACACAAGCATCTGGGGTCCGTGCCCCACTTGGGGAGGTGCAGTTCTGGATTCGAGTATTTTTCAACATGGTCACACTGTGGCCGTTAGATTTTCAGATCCGATGGTAGGGACGCGTGTATACTCGAAACCAGAATTAAATCTCCCCAAGTGGAGCACAGACCCTGGGGACTGTCTGAACAACCAAACGACATCCAGACTAACTGGGCATCCCTATCCAGACTGTCTGGACGATCATCTGCGTGTCCAGATACGAAAAACAAAAACAAAAACAAAAAGAAAAGCAAAATCGGGTTCTGGAGTGACGTAAAGCATACTCGTGCTGTGTGCCCTTGGAACTGTGAAATGCTGCTGGGCGCTCCCAGTATGGCCACACCTCAAATTAGAGCAAAGCAGTTCAAGGTCAGAATAAGTGAGGGGAAAATGAACAAAATCGTTTTGTAATACAATCTCACAAAGGTTCCGCTGTACACCGACTCATCAGTGCTTTGGTTCCGTTGATTTCAGGTTGGGGAAACTACTTACAAACAAGGAAAGAGAAAAATAAAACTACAGAAAAAAAGGAAAGGAGATCTCACACAAAGACTGGTGAACCGATCTCAGACTGGCAGTTTCCACAGCCGATTACATACAGAGATAAACCGCCAATCCGTTCAGAGCTATTTTGTTCCTACACAGCAGTCTACCCTCCTCCGTGCCCACAGGGGCTCGGCGTACCCAATCTGCCCAGATGAAGGCGCCAGGCAAAACAAAAACAAAAACAAAAACAAAAAAGGGCACCCACGCCAGGTCGTTCGTTTCTGCCGCACAGCAGAAATCCGCCTCAGAAAAAAGAGGTTTGGATGAACTGGTGGTTTAAGACAAAGCGGCGGCAAGAGAGGGCGTCCGAGGGCTGTGAGAAACTTCCCTCCTACCTACCTGCCTGCATTGCTTCTGTTATTCTTATTGACGAACCTCTGATTGTAGTTGGAGCCAGATTCACTTGAATCGAGTAGGTGATTTGGGATAAGCTCTTCTGTATTATGGGTCGTTTTGCTATTTTTCAAACAGTCGGCGTTTCAACCATTTTTGCTTGTGCTAGTGCGCCTTTGTGTGAAAACCTTCTTTGAGCGCGTAGCGCCGTAGTGTAAACTGGCAGGAAAGCTGAAGATATAGTCCATAGCATGAAGAAATTAATGGAGAAAGGCACCACACATGTTCACTGTAGGTCTAGACGTACATTCTTCGGATCGAGAGGAGCTGTAAGGTTCTCCCTTACCACTGGGCTATTTGCTGGGAACCCCTATTATGACGGTTGCCTGGGTGCTCGTCTTTTCCACTCGCCATTTTTCCTTTCTTCTTTCCTTCCTTTTCAAACAAGGTAGAAATGTGCCTTTGTGTCCTTTGAGACATCCATTAAAATTGGAATAATGCAGAGACGATCAGCATGGGCCCTGCGCAAGGATGACACGCATAAATCGAGAAATGCTCCATAGAAAAAAACAAAGAAATGTGTCTTTTTTTGTGCCCAATGCTTGCAAAGTCAGTTAAAGACTTTGTACAGACATGAAGTTCTGTGGAGAGAAACAGTCAGAAGCAGACAATACTGACCGCTCTCGGCTTTCAATCTTCTCTGCCCCTGGTTCTCGCGCTGTGGTACTTTGTGGTGGCTGGCACTCTTTCTCAGTCAAACAGAGAAAGCAGTTCCATAGCTCGAGACTGCAGCACAATATCGGCAAAGGTGATGTGATCGTCGCCAATGTCCAGCTGCTCCTGCGATCTCCTTTCAATATCCACGGGCTTTGCAAGAAGCTGAATCGCTTCTTGCCCTAGAAGTGTCTGCAACTCGGCCTGCGGTTGCTTGGCAGGGTCTGACAAGAAAACTCCCCTCTGTCCTGTCTCCGCCCCTCTGCCTCCATTTTCCGTGCCCTGTGGCAGCACCTGATGTCCAAACAACAGCTGGAAGAACTCGGCGCACTTCAGGCGGGTGGCTCGGTATCCTTGCCGGCCCTTCAGAATTCGTGCAACCTTCTCCAAGCCCTTGCATCTCAGAAACTCCTTTTGGTTGATGTAGCAGTCCAAGAGAAGAGACAAAAGTGCGGCAAGCGAGCCGCACTGGACGGACGGATTAGCGAGCGACAGCAAATCAGTCAACCGTTTAACTGCCGAAACCTGTACACAAAGCAGCCGACTGGTCGGGTCGAGGATGCATACTCCCTCGAGCACAGACAACGCAAGGGCGACCTCTTCATCGTCAGGCGGAATGAAAGTGGGCATTGGGGGTTCACAGGAGATAGGGTCCAAGACAGGCGGCGATGGCCACCCCTTACAGCCGGCCGAAAGAGATTTTTCGAACAAGGCGGGAACAATCTGGAACTCTCCATAGTTCTGACTTTCCCAGAAAATTGTGGTCCACTCCTGCGAGCGCGAAGCCAAGCTAACCAAGCGTGCAATTGATGCCAAACCCTCTCGCCGCAGATACGGGTACTCCGCACGTAGATTCTGTAGCCCGTTCTTGAGTGTAAGCGTCAGCTCTCGGACTACCCTTTGCCGCGACAAGGATTCGCCCATCGCCGTCAAGCCCGAAGCCCCTTGCCACTCTTCGGATACCCATGGTGGGGAGGAGAGCTCCATCAGAGACGGTGCTCACCACTTAACACTACGCTTCCGTCAGCTCACCCCTTGACACGACGAACAATGCCACTGTGACTGTGCCCTTCGCTCACAATCCCCCTCCCCCTCTTTCCTGGCTGATGTTGGAGTTCCTTCTCCAGCTTGCTCCAACCTTCTTAGAATCCTTTCTCCTCTCACAGTGTCTCGAGCATGACCTGGTGATGCGGAGAACAGTGGTGGGTGTAACTACAATGGGGAGGAAAAAGAACACAGCTAAATCTCACACAACTGTTGCGCACAAGCAAAGAAAACAAAGGAATGTCCTTCCAGACATCTGTTAAAATCGGAACGACGCAGAGAAAGAAGATTAGCATGGCCTCTTCGCAAGGATGACACACATGACTCGAGAAATGGTCCTACTCAAAAAAAAAAAAAAAAAAAAAAAAAAAAGATCACAGATCAGTAATCATAATTCTAAAAGGGTGACGGCCTTGAGATATGATCATACCATCATCATCGAGCGGACCAGACCGGACCCGACCCAAGTAATTCAGAATTATTGTATTCTGTTCATCTGATTGCATCTAGATTCGATCTTGGGCCTGTATTTCAACAACAGTTCGTGGGTGCACCAACTGAGCTAGGCCCGTCATCGTAATTCATTTACATACAACCGACAAAACCACTGCAGATCCGTTCCGGCCGATGAAGATCCCAGCACACCAGCACAAAGAACACATGCAGAGCCAGGCGATCGATCTGACACATGTTGGCTTGCTTGTTGACTTCCACTGTACACCATGGTCTATCTGCTCTGTGGTGTGGCCCCTCCACCTGTAGTTTGGCAGTTTTTTTTTTTTTTTTTTAAGTGGGGCACAGTGCCCAAGGCTCATATTATCACCTCAGATTTACTTAAAGTTGGAAGCAGAGGAACTCTCTCCCTTGTCTTTTGTTCTGTTTTCATTTTTTTGGAAGCACTCAGGAGTCAGGACGTTGTAGGGGTTGGAATCGGACTTGGGGGTCATTGAAGCTCGGCCATCTGATTATCCAGCCAGGTAATCGTGTATGCCTTTTCCTTGCCCCCTATGTGCCCCTCTTTTTCAGTCATAGGGCAAGCTTCCCTTTCCTATGTGCCCCTATTTTCCATTGATGGGGCAGGAGGAGCAGGGCCAAGGAGGAGCAGGGCCCAGGAGGAGCAGGGCCTACCTACTGTTTTTCATGTAGTGACTCAGGCGTTACCACGGTAGCTGAGCCTACCTCCCTTTTTGTGGGACCCCCCGAGCGAGCTTATCCTTGATGGCAGGAACCAGTACGTACGTGTGAACCACGTCCTTGTCAACGATATTCCCTAGCCTACCTTCCTCACAGCTAAAGGGTGTGGACCTGGCTGGGTTTCCAGGGCCCTATATGGTGTGTTGATTCCTCTATTTCATGCTTACTTTTATACCACTCCATGCATGGTTGAAAACGCCCTGCGTGACCGGGCTACCAGCCGGGCCACTCGGGTCACCTCGTTTTCCCGGGCAGGCTGGCCATGCAAGGACTGGGGAAGGTCCCAGCAAAAGAAAAAGGAAAAAAATCCAAAAAATCAAAAAAAAACTCCAAAAAAATCCAAAAAAAAGCTATGTTATGCAGAAAATTTAACTGAACACCAACTTTTGCCTCATCGTCACATCGAAATTCTTTACCTTTTTCTTCTTTTTCTTTTTTTGGCCCAGCCGGGCAAGCAGTCCCAGCAGTCCCAGGCCACTCTGGTAGCCTAGCTGCATGCCAAAAAGAAACGGACCAGCGTGGGCCTCTCCTTCTGGGTGGTGCCGCCAGCCATTTTGCTCCCGAGTTCGAGCCCCCCAAAGTTGTGCCTGAATGCAACCCGCATATTTCATTCTTTGGTGGGAAACGTACTGGAGGTTTAAACCACCACTACCAACTGCATTTTTCGTACCCCCCGGACTCGAATGAATTTGGACCGGAGGGACAGGCCGATTCGGCTTCCACATTAACGGCCGCCCCAACCGGTAGGTACTGGTGGTTTAAAAAGGAGCGCACCTAGCGAGATGCTCAGACCCACTCGGAAAGCCGAACGGTGCTCAGATGCACCCCAGAATAGATGGGGCTGTGTGTATGTTGTGTTTCAAAAACGAAAACCTATACTACACATGAAGGGCATGCATGGTTGGCTGACATTGCTCTTCACAAGAGCGAAGTGAGATTCATCGACAATGGGCCTCACATCTTTCCACCCGTGCGCTACGTCCCGTTGAATGTTAGTGGATCGTCAGCTGAGATGTCACATACATACTCTCTTCATCTATACGACCATAGGAGCAACAATACTGCCTATCAGCATCACCGTCATCACCGTCATCACCAACATCATCATTGCCCGCCCCCCCCCATCATCATAACCTTCAGATCTATGATGAACGACATGACCAGGAGGACAGCTCCTTCTCATCCATCATCAGTTCCCTGGGGGGCGGGTAGATTCCGAGCATCCTTTATTCTGGAGATCGGTACATTCATTCAGCGTTAGCTGAAAAGGTCACCATAGCTCCCCAGGTCACGTTGACAGACAAGTCGGGAGCTCAATTCCAATGAGATGCAAATTCTGCCACAGGCTGAGCTCCTCTTCATACACTTAAAAACTGGCAAGTTGTTTGTGCACACAGATTCCCTGTCCTTTGCAAGCGAGAAGCCAGCCCACCTGCAGAGGGGGTGACAAGGACTTATGAGAATGACTTATTATCCACAATGCACGCCAGCAGTGGAGGACAAGGACCTGCTCCCTGTATATTTATTTATTTATTGGCCAGGGTGAAAGCTCCTAAGGTTATTGTACCCATCTGTCTGATTGTTCCAGTCAGACTTCAAGACTTACATGACCTGTTTATGAACGGTTACATTTAAAAAAAAAAAAAAAAAAAAAAGCATGCCATTCAGCTACATGGCGAGGGTAGGTCCTGCTCACGGAATCCAACAAGGTTTCCAGGTGCTCCCGTTCCTCTCTCTCTCTCTCTCTCTCTCTCTCTCTCTCTCTCTCTCTCTCTCTCTCTCTCTCTCTCTCTCTCT